ATATCATTACAATGAGCATTCAATCTCCTTCACCAATTATTTCAACATCTTCTTATCGGAGAAAAGATTTTATTAACTTATCCTCATATATTTCTACCTTCCTTAGACTGCTCAAGATCGATGAGGACTGGGTGAGCGATTTCAAGTATCTTACTGTTAGCATTCTCTTCGATGGTGTCAACTTCTCCCTCAGTTTATTAAGGCAACCTTTGCACTTCTTGTGCCAGTTGTGGATGTGTACCCCTGTTTCGTTCCAGGGTACGTGTCTGTTCAATATATACAAGTATTACTTCGAACCGGGAAGGGCATTTTGGTCCCCATAGTGCTCTTCATTAAACGACTTTTTTCAACATGATTGTGGTATGGCCAGCAACTTCCTTCGGTCTTTCTTAGTGAAGCACGAACTGTCATTCGCACAACTAAAACTGTCTTTAGAGACCTGCAGTATTGATATTTTGAAGTAATGAAAGTTGTAATCTCTTGAAGGCAGTTCTGCCTTGGAAGGATACGTAAGGGGGCTCATCTGCAAGTCAATTCTATTGAGCATTAGCTACGACTCTGATACCTATTGGTTCTCCTTAGGCTGGAACTAGCAGAGGATTCCTAGAAAGCGCGTCTAATGTTGCATAGGCACCACCTTTCGTGTAAAGAAACTTTAGATCGCATTGCTGCATCGCAAGTGTCCAAAGTGTTATGTGTGTAGGATAAGTTCTTCCCGGTCGAGAGGTCACGTAATGGCTTGTGTTCTGCCTTCACGATTATCTTGTTACCATAGAATTTTATAGTTACTCTGGGCTTCAGTTTGCCGTTGGCTAGCAAAACAGAGCGAATACAGCAGAACACCAACTCCGCATTTTTAAACAAGTAATGAATCATCCCATCTGTATCTCGTTCAAAGAGCATCATAGATTTTTTAACTTTCACTTTCATTGAAGAAATGTTTTCCGCAATGAGCGGTCGTGTTTCACTTTCCTTTTTGATAATCAGCTGAATGCGCAACGCTGATCGAGTCTTCTATATATTTTATAATTTATTTAAATAATTTTTTACACGAAACGAAATGATTTTTTCATTCCAAAGGACGAGTTGCTAGAGCATCTTCCATAAGGGCCACCGATTTCTCGTGTAAAATTGCCTTGGTCTGTAAAATTGACTCTTATAAGCTTATTCGAACTTTTACATACTTCCTCAGCTAACTCGGGTCTAGCTTTCTTCAAATAGTCGTACAGGGGGTGAATAATGGGTACAACAAGGAAAGCTCCAAGTGGTACGATAAGATCATAAGATTCTTCTAGCTGAAAGGAACATCACTACACAGTTCGTAACTTCATTGACCTACCTGTTTGAGTGTGTAAGGTAACTCTCCTTCAACTTCTTCACGGAGATAGTCATAGAAAATGCTTAACAGCTCCTTGTGATGGTTTCTTCGATCGGCTCCACTCAAACAGGCGGAGAAAGCACGAACCAGATCCACCACAGGCGAATTGAAGCTTGCTGTCTTCAAAAACTACTTTTCTCAATAT